GAGGGAGAGAGAAATAGAGAGAGGGAGGGTGAGAGAGGGAGAGAAAGAGAGGGGGCAGAGAGAGAAGGAAAGAAAGAGAATGGAGGGAGAGAGAGAAAGAAAGAGGAAGGGAAAGAGAGAAGGAGTGGGAGAGACAGAGAGAGATGTGAATAGTCGTAGATCCGGCAATTATGAAGGTTCGCATGGGGGACTCACGTGCGGCATAGAGGGCGATTTTATCGTTCTCCTCGTGCTTCAGAAGGTTTTCGGCATAGTTTAAACGGCTGCCTTTAAACCATTCGGGAACATCCGCGATGCTCTTGGAGGGATCGATCACCTGGTGGGAACACATCCAGCATCCTTAACAGAAGACTTTGCAGCCACGTAGGGGGCACAAAGGAACAGTGTTATGAGGGTCTCTCTCTCTGTCCCTCCTCACCATCTGGGGGGGCTCCCTTAAGTCCAGTTAGATGGATGTGTTTCCCCCCTTGGAGAAAAACAGGACCAGACTGGGTTACTACGGGGATGGGGCACCAACAGGAAATCCAATCGGATGGGCCCATTTAAAAAAAAGTTCCTTTGGAAGAAGGCGCTGCTTGTCTTCTGCTAAGAAAACTACAGGGAGCCCTCAAACTTATGACCGTTTAGAGACCGTTTGAAGTTCTGACAGCAGTAAAAAGAGTGGAGTTTTCAAAAACGAGGAGTTTTCCAGTTCTTATTGGCAGTCATAAGTTAAGGACTACCTGTGGAGAGCCTTCCATCTTTACCTGACCTTAAAAGATGCTAATTAAGATCCAAACTCTTCATTTTATGAGTGGGAGGCTTTTAGGAAACCCCCTGATCAGATCAGAAGTCAAAAGATCTCCTGGAAGAAGGCCATGCCAGACCAACTCTTCCACGCATGACCGAGAAGACAAGCCACGTCCACCAACTTCAGCAGAGCTTGGACTCAAAAATCAACTTTGCAATGACCTTGTTGGGGATCTACAGAACTTCTCCCAACTTGTCCCAAAGATGCTTTTTTTTCAGGAGGCAACTGGACTTTCTTGTTTTTTTGTTTTGAAGACGTTTTGCTTCTCATCCAAGAAGCTTCTTCAGCTCTGACTGGATGGCGGGGCATGGAAGGATTTATATTCCTTGCAGACAGCTGGTTATTTGCATCCTTTTAGAGGGCCGTTAAGGCCACTTGGAGGTTTATCTGTCACCCAAGTAGTGCAAATGGTTCCTGCAGTCTGCAATTTTATTTTTTTCCCCTCTCTCGAAATCCATTCCTATTCCCACACCATTCAAAGGGTGTTCATCCCAAATTGTGCAGCTAAGAATCGACATAAACAGTCATAAGTTTGAGGACTCCCTGTAGTTTTCTTGAAGAAAACTTGAAGGAAGGAAGGAGGGAGAGAGGGAGATGTGGAAGGAGGGAAGGATGGATGGATGGAAGGAAGGAAGGAAGATGTGAGAGGAAGAAAGGAAGGCAAGCAGTGCCTTCTTCCAAAGGAATTTTTTTTTAAATGGGCCCTGGTGGATTTCCTGGTGGTGCCCCATCCCAGTATTAACCCAGTCTAATCCTGTAGAGATTCTCAGTCATCCAGGTCATAGTTGTCTCAAAGGTGCTTTTTTCAGGTAAACCCTCCAAGTGGCCTCAACGACCCTCTAAAAGGATGCAAATGGCCAGCTTGTCTGCAAGGAATATAAATCCTTCCATTCCCCCATCATCCTGACAGAGATGAAGAAGCTTCTTGGATGAGAAGAGAAACATCTTCAAAGAAAAAAAAACCAAGCCCAGTTGCCTCTTGAAAAAGCATCTTTGGAACAACCATGGCCTGGGATGACAGAGAATCCCTACCGACTTTCTCCCACGGAGAAATTGTTTAAAAGGCCAGGAAAGAGGAGATGTTGACTTGCCAAATGATAGATAGCAATGGCCCCGTCCAACCTTGGCTCACCCAGGCTGGAGAAGAAGACCTAGAATCAGGTGGAAAGTCACACCCACCGTCTCCTGCGTGATTCAGTCCCCAATTAATCTGAATAATCGAGTGATCAAAGAAAACAGCTGTGTCCCAATATCTCAGCGGTTGCCACAAAGAACAGGGAGTCAAGCTCTTTTTCAAAGCACCCAAAGGCAGGACAAGAAGCAAAGAATGGAAATTAATCCAGGACAGAAGCAACCTGGGATTAAGGAGAAATTTCCTAACAGGGAGAACAATTAATTGGTGGAACAGATTGTCTTCAGAAGTTGTGGGCGTTCCATCCCGGGAGGTTTTTAAGAAGAGAGCAGGGGGTTGGACTAGAAGACCTCCAAGGTCCCTTCCAACTCTTGCCACCCTGTCAGCTTACCTCATCATAAAGCCGAGAAAAGACAATCCCGCTGAATTTCCAAAACTCTGCCCAGAAATCCGAATAATGCTGTACAGACCAGTGGTAAAACTCGCTGTAGTTGGCTGGAAGCAAAAACGAGAAACCCCCATTAAAAAACCCCTCTCCATAATTATGTTTCCTAAGAAAAGACCAATCAGCTAGTTGCTTTAACCGGCAAGAGTTTAAACTTGAGTTTTAAACTCCTTTTTTTTTTTCTCAAAAGAAAGCAAATGAAGCTGTTCAAATCGAACATTTTTTTTGGGACAAGTTTTTACTCTCCGTCTGCTCAAGCGCAGCATCGAATGCAGAAGCCACCTGTCAGGCCTGGGGGAAAAAAATAAAAAAAATAAAATTATTGGTTGCCTATTTCTTTCTCGGGAACAAACAGCCAGCTCCCTTCTCTCTCTCTCTCTCTCTCTCTCTCTCTCTCTCTCAAGCACCTGTAATGCAAAGCCCAATAAAAATCAGACAAATAATTTCTGTGTTTTGGCTAATACATCAAAGGAAGGAAGCAAAAAAAAACAAAAAACCAAAACCCTCTGGTGCTATTTTTCTCTTCGTGATTTAGCGGACAATTGATGGCTCCATCTTGACTTCTGGTAGGAGGGAGCCCCAGGCAAACAAACCAGATCTCTGAAATTGCTAGAGCAAACAGAAATCGCTTCTGGTTATTTGCTCTCCTTTTTATTTCCCTGGGAGAATAAGAAGGAAGAGATGCATAAATGAGAAGGGAAAAAAAAGAGTGGAGGGAAGGGGAAGAGGATTATTTACAGAAGGGAAATTCTAAGTAACTATCACACAGTGCCAAGGGTACCAGAAGGCACCCGAATTCTACTCCTCTTCCCCTTAAAAGTTAATACAGTTACTTCTCGACTTATGACAATTGAGCCCAATGCTTCTGTTGTTAAAGACAACTGACTTTCCCCCCACCTGTTGTGGTTAGCCGGCAGCAGGTGCGGACGGCTGAGGAGAGCGAGGACTCAGATGAGGGGCCAGGACCATCAGGGAGTGGACTGCTGCCTTCAGAGATTCTGGGGGCTGGCAGCAGCGATGAGGAGGTTCCCGAGGAGCCTGTGCCAAGTGCGCGTGCATGCAGGGTTGTTTGTAGGAAAGAGCAGCTGCAGCAGCACAGGTGACTCAGGAGTAAGGCTGCAAGAGTGCCCCTCCTTCAAGAAGATAAAAGCCAGCTGTGAAACGAACGTACTTTGCAGAAGGCAAAGACGTTTTGAAACTCCAGCCTCGTGGACATTCCAGTATCCTGAGTTTGTATTTGAAGATTCTTGTATTGCAAATTATTTCTTGTCTGTTATCTTTTGGCAAGTCTCGCACAGTTTGGCAAGGCTTGTGCTTATCACGGTTCATGATTTTGCAGAAGCATTACCAGGTTTCTGTTCCCTTTGGATTGTGTTTGATTTGTTGGAAAAGGGCGTGGGTCAGAACACCACCTTCCTTGCCATAGTTGTTAAGTGAATCGCTGAAATTATTAAGTTACTATGTTTCCCTGAAAATAAGACCCTGTCTTATTTTTTATTTTTTTTTGCCACCCAAAAAAGGCACCAGGTCTTATTTTGGGGGATGTCCTCCACTGACTAACCTCACTTGCGCGCGTCGCCCCCGGCCACCTTTTTGCTGTTAGAGGCCTTCAGGTGCTTCTTCTAGGTCCAGCAAGGCTTTCGTAGAGGCCTCTGCAGCCGATACTAGAGCTCAGGATCGATCCAGAACTTTGTTATCAGCTCCAGAGCCTTCAGGAAAACCTTGCCAGCCTGCCAGCTTCAGAAGGAATCAGCCGGCAAGGCAGGTGTCGGGGTGTGCGAGGCCTGGCTACAACTGTCCAAAGGTAAGTAGTCGGGCAGCTTCACCCCTCCACCCTAGCTTAATTTTTACCAGTGCACTCTGGAGTGGGAGGGTCTTAATTAGGGCTTATTAGGGGGTAGGGCTTATATTGGGCACATGTGTAAAAAAAATGAAGCTAGGATTTACTTTCAGGGTAGGTTGTATTTTGGGGAAAACAGAGTAGTAACACAATCTGAAAATAACATTTAACACAGCATAGTACTTAAGCAAAATGGTTTGGTTGAAATCGGCATATGTGGGACTGATTGGGGTAGAAGACTCTAGGGGCGATACTGAAATATAATTTTATCGTTATTTTATTTATCTATGAAATTATTGTATTCTTTTGCAATTTCGTTTTAAAATGTCTTTTATTCCAATTCCATTTTAAATTGTTTGTTTTTTTTAATCAGATTTTAGTAATAATTTGTGTCCGGAGCTCTGCACTTGGATATGGCCCAAGGGCTAATGAATAAAGTAAAGTAAGTAGTAACTCAGTTGTTTAGTGAATCTGGCTTCCTCACTGATTCTGCTTGTCAGAAGGTGGCAAAAGGGGATCACGTCATCCCTGGGCAACCGTCATAAGTATGAGTCAGTTGCCAAGCGCCTGAATTTTCATCATGTGACCGTGGGAATGCTGTAACGGTCATAAGTGTGGAGAAGGTTACCTTTTTCTTGTAATGCTGTTGTAACTTCAAATGGGCACTACATGAATGGTTGTAAGTTCAGGACTTCCTATATCTCAGGTTTTATCAAATCTGTTATTTATTTTTCCAGGTCTCTAAACATCGGAGTTAACAAATTGGTTTGCACTAGCAGCGTTGTTTACTTGAAGAAGAGAAGCGAGCAAAACAAAGTTGCTTTGAAACCAGGGATGATACCTAATTTATTTTCCATCCTATCCCCCTCCGTTTCACAAACCCACACCCACAATCACAACTGCAAACTCCAGCATCAGCCGAGCAAAAAATGTGAAAAGGAGGGCAACAGCTTCCATCAAATGCTTTTGCACATATATATATATATATATATATATTTTTGGGGGGGGGGGGGGGGGAAGATAACAACAATCTCTTTTAAGTTTGCAAAAAGAAACACAGGGGACCTTGGCTTAAAATTCCCCTTCCCCATCTATCCAAAGACATGCCGCATTTATTTTTCACATCAAGAATCAAGAGAGAAAACAATTGCCTGGTTATTCTTCCACGGATAAATAGGAGGCCCAGATTTAAATATACAACAGCATTGCAAGACACAACGGATCAAATGTGTTGTGTATCCGCACACGCGTTGACACTTTAGGGCCCAAAGGGGGAAAGCTGTAATGTCCCAAATGGCCAGAACTATAAGACCTATAGCACCTCTTCCCACGGAAGATGTCCTCGATTTACGACAATTGAGCCCAAAATTTTTATTGCTATGGTTAAGTGAGTTTTACATGGTGGTTAAGTGAACCCAGTGACTTTTGTTAGTCAGAAGGTTTCAAAGGGGGATAGCATGACCCCCCCTGGGACACTGCAGCCCTCATAAATATGAGTCAGTGGCCAAACATTGGATTTTGAAGGGGATGATGCGACGGTCGTAAGTCTGAAAAATGGTCATTAATCAGGTTTTTTTTCAGTGCCATTCTTACTTCGGTCACTAAATGAACTGTTTTGTAAGTCAAACACTACCTGTAGTTCAAAATCTCCTCGGTAGCTGTCTTATTTCTGCTCATTGCAAAAATTAGCAGCCTAAAAACTGGGGGGGGAAAACAGCTTCTATCGCAGGGCAGCAAACTCTATTTAATTCTCCTGTATTGTGCAATATTCATGCAATATCAGGGCTCTTCAATTCAATTGTATAGAATGTGAAGGATTGTGTTTGTGTTTTATTTTCATAGTCATAATGTACACTGAAGATGGCATTTAATTTCGTTGTACGAGGTGCAATTACAATAAGGTAAACTAAACTAAAATCATCCCCCCGCCCCCATTGGAAGAAACGAGAAACCTTATTCAATGTTCCTTTTTTACAGCCTACTGGCTCAGTTGCTAATATAAAAAGCCCCAGGCCTCACTGAGCACATGGAAACGCACAACCTGCCCTCTTTGGGGGGAATCAAAACACACACACACAGACAGCATTCACACAATGCATTTCCCCCCTCTCTTTTTTCTACAGGTTGAGATAGAGCGGAAAGGCGAAAGGGAAGAGAAACCAGGCAGCGGATTTAAAGCTACGTTGAACTGCAGCTGAAAGATGCTTCCAAGCCCAGTGCAAAAATGCTGATTTGTACAAGCCTTGAGGACTAGAGGCCCAGTTTCTTGGAATAATTAAAAAAAAGGAAAAGAAAAAAAAAAAGCCCAGATTTGCTCTGGAAGATGATCCAGTTCCTCGTGAGTCAGGGCTGAAATATGGTGGCACGGTTACATTCTGGGATCCTATTGGTTGCAAGGCCAAAAAAAAAGAGGGGGGGGTTTCAGGCTGTATCACCCCCACACACACACACAATGGAGGCCTCAAGTTCCCATTTATTTTATTATAGGTTTATTGAATTTGGACGACACCGGTCTCCTCGACGAGGCAACTCCAGGCGTCTCACCTGTTATAAAAGCCTTACGGGTCCCTCTCTCTGCTGGCAAGCACACCTGAAGACCCTTTGCTCACAGGTAAACCCTGCCAGCTTGCAAATTATGTCCAAGCTTGTCGTTCCTGGGATTTGCAGAAAGTTTTCGATCTTGCATCAGCCGGGCCGAAGACAAGTCGTCGGAAGGATAAATAGGTGGCAGGATGCAGAATGGCTGGGAACGTGCAACACGCCCGACAGGTTCATTCAAAATTTGTGTTAGATAAGGGAGATGAACTGGAGGAGGGGAGAAGAGTGGGGTGGGGGAGGGGACCGGACCAGCTCCAACTTTTGGGGCAGTGAGAGTACCACATCCTCTCCCCATGGGTTCATTCACAAACCAGACCACACACACCACGGTGCCCTGCAGCACCATTTAAGCTCCACTTATCATGCCCTATCATCCTCTGCTGCTCCAAGGTAGACTCCTTCCCCCTCTGGAGGCTCCACTTATCAAGATTCATTGCTTCCCCCACCCCCTTCCAAAATGCATTTAAAAAATTAATAAAAGCACGATCCCTTTGGGGCAATCCAGCTTTCCCTCCCGCTGGAAAAGCCAGGCGCCTCTCCTAGCAGAGGCAAACCCCAGATCCAATAAGACACCCACACACACACACACACACGCAACCCTCATCAACCCAGAGAGAAAGGCAAGGTAACTAAGGATGGTGGCATCTCATTTGCGGATGGCGCCAGGTTGCCGATCCAAGCAGCGCAATCTTGCTCTGTTTGCAATTGCGGGGCGCCCCGCGTAACCTGCCTTGCAGGGCCGTTGTGGGAGAAGCGGTTCTGCCTCCTGGGAGGGAACCGGGGTGCAACGGGAAAGGGAACCAACCCGGCGAATGGACGGAGCATCGCTTTCTTTGCCCGGCTTCCCCGCAGGGAGGGACTCACCTAAGCGGATGCCGTAAGCCGCGGTGACCGCCGCCCTGAAGCGGTCCATGCTGGTGTTGCGCTTGGAATCCGGCTCCCACATCCGCTGCGCTTCCATGATCTCCAGCTCCCCAGACATCGTCAACAACTGAGCACAGCCCCGGCTTCGCCTCCGCTGCCCGCTTCGCTCTACGGAGCGCCTCCTCCTCGCCGGTCCTAGCAGGACTGCGGGGCTCCGCCTCCTGCCGGCGCCTTTTATAGGACGCGTCACCTCTTTGACACCGTCTTCCCCCGCCGGTGAACTTCCGCCAATCCCAAAAAATAGTGCGCGGAGCGAAAGGCCGATCTTTGTAAGGGCAGCGAGCGTGAACAGTGTGGACTGCAAGTAAAATAATAATACAATAATGCAATAATGCAATAATACAATAGTAACATTGTAACAAAATATAAAATAAAATAATATAAAATATAAAATAAAATAATATAAAATATAACATAAAATAATATAAAATAATATAAAATAAATATAAAATAATATAATATAAAGTAAAATTATATAAAATTATATAAAATATAAAATTATATAAAATATAAAATTATATAAAATATAAAATATAAAATGCAAAACATTTTAAAACACAAAACACAAAACAAAACACAAAATATAAAATAAATATAAAATATAAAATAAATATAAAATAAATAATATAAAATAAAATAATATAAAATAATATAAAATATAAAATAATATAACATATAAAATAATATAAAATATAAAATAATATAAAATATAAAATGCAAAATGTAAAACACAAAACACAAAACACAAAACAAAACACAAAATATAAAATAAATAAAAAATAAAAAATAAATACAATAAATAAAAAATAAATAAAAAATAAATAAAAAATAAAAAGACCATTTAAAGACCGTTCAAAGCTGGAAAAGGTGACTTACGACCATTTTTTTTTTCACACTTGACGTTGCGGAATCGCCATGGTCCCGCAGTCCAACCGACTCATATTTACGACAGCCGCAGCTTCCTGGGGTCACGTGATCCCCTTTTGCGACCAGCGTAGTCCACGGGGAAGCCCCCGATTCACTTAACAGTGTGACGCATTTAAGAACCGTGGCAAGAGACGTTGAAAAGTGGAGTTGAAACTCACTGAATGACCTTCTCACTTAGCAACAGCAATGTCAAAGCTCCATTGTGGTCGTAAGTCAAGGACCAATGGCGAGGACTTTTACAAAAGACGAGTTAGGGTTAGGGAAACCATTTTTGGACTTTTCCTGCTGACAAATGGGGGGTGGGGGTGGAAATGAGTTGGTGATTTGATGATTAATAAAGAGTTGAATATGGGAAGAAGGGGATTCTGTAAGGCCAACCCTCAAAGAGAGACAATTTTAGTTTGTAACTGCTGTAAAAGCGATCTGACAGTTTCTTTAAATATCTTTTTCGACCCGTATTATATCTTGCACATATATATCTGTTACCTTTCGTTGTCCTTAACTTTTTTTAATATATAATTGTTCAGGTTTATCTTTTATCCATGTAAAACTCTGCAATAAAAATTATCGATTTAGGAATATGTAGATTTTGACTTTCCTCTAATTTCAGGTTATGTTTTTTATTCTATTATTCTATAATTCTATTTGTTTAATTATTATTATATTTTATTCTAGTATCCTTCTCATCCTTCCTAGTATCTATTTCTTCCCACTTATGACTATTACCATGTTGCTTGTATCTTTACAATCTATATTGCTTTATTTGTTTTCCTAGTATGTTTTGATTGCGTATTAGTAACCTATGACTATCATTAAGTGTTGTATCTTACGATTCTTGATGAATGTATTTTATTTTTTCTTATGTACTCTGAGAGCATTTGCACCAAAGACAAATTCCTTGTGTGTCCAATCACACTTGGCCAATAAAGAATTCTGTTCTGTTCTGTTCTATTCCCATTCCTTATTCTATTCTATTCTATTCTATTCTATTCTATTCTATTCTATTCTATTCTATTCTATTCTATTCTATTC